ATTAGCAGAGATTGTTAATTGCAATTAGGGCTATCATTAATACAGATTGTGAATTACAATTGGGGCTGTTATTAATACAGATGTGTTAATTGCAATTGGGACTGTCATTAATAAAGATAGTCCATTGCCATTGGGCTGTCATTAATACAGATGTGTTCACTGCAATTGGGGCTAAATTTTTATTCTAAATTTTTATTCGAAATTTTAAAGCACCAAGTGGCAGAGTGGAATCAAACTTGATGTGTTTACTCGAAATTTCTATTCGAAATTTTTATTCGAAATTTTAAAGCACCAGGTGGCAGAGTGGAATCAAATTTAATGTGTTTTTTTTGTTTGTTTTTTTTTTTTTTACATTTTAAAGCACGGAGTGGAATCACTTCACCTGCTCTTGATACACGAGCAGGCCACAAATATTTACATTTATATATTGATATTTACAGTTATAATTCTATTAATATATTTATAATTTATATATGTATATATTTATATATTTATATATACCTATTTATGTATTTATATATTTATATACTTATATATTTATATATTTATCTGTATCTATACCTATTTACATTTACATATCTATATATTTAGATATTTCTATTTACTTATATAATTATTTTATGTATGCTTATATGCACATTTATATGCATGTATCTATATTTATCTCTATATTTATATTAATATTTTATATTAACGTGGGAGTAACGATGGTGTAACCCTCATCCCTATGGGAAAACAATTCCATGGTCACTTCTCTAAAACTCAAACTCCAGCATCCCCTGGGAATCTGCAAATTAAATAAAGGATTGACTTTAATTCCTTAATTGACTTTAGGGGATTTGGTCCTACCATGGAAAATTCATATTTCATATAGAGAGAATATATTGAAAATATCTACAATTAAATACACTCACAGAGCCCATTCACCACCAAAATCCCATTTTTTCCTCTTTAAAAAAACCTCCCCTGACATAAAAAAGGAATTGCTGAAACTCCTCATTCTTCAGCAACCTGAACCCAAATTTGTCCACATTTTTTAACTGATAGGAAAAAAAAAAACCCACCCAAATCAAATTTTTTTTTTTTTTTCAGAAATCACGCTGAAATTTGCACCCTGAAGTGGCTCCTTCTGGAAGGAAAAATCTGAAATATTCATTTTGGGATTCTTTGTTTCAAAAATCAAGTTGGTGCCAGCACAAAGCATCTCCTCACTCCTGATTTGGGGGAAATTTGGGGGAAATTTGGAGAGTTTTGGTTGGTGGAAACCCAGCAGGGGCAGCTGATCCTTCCTTATCCTCACCCCATCCAACATCCTGACTCACCAACAATCCAAACCTTTAAAATTCTTATTTTCCTAAAAATTTTCATGTTTATGGTACTGAAACACTCAAGTTTTAATTAATTGTGTTATAAACTCAAGGGCAGCTCATCCTTCCCTGTCCTCACCCCATCCCATATCCTGCCTCACCAACAATCCAAACCTTTAAAATTCTTATTTCCCCCAAAAATTTTACATTTCTTATGTACTGAAACACTGAAAGAAATTTTAATTATTTGTGTTATAAACTCAAGGGCATCTCATCCTTCTCTATCCTCACCCCATCCCATATCCTGCCTCAACAATCCAAACCTTTAAAATTCTTATTTCCCCCAAAAATTCACATTTCTGATGCACTGAAACACTCAAGCTTTAATTAATTGTGTTCTAAATGATAACTGCGCTATAAAAAATCGTGTTTTAAATCTTTTCCCCCTGCTGCTCAGGGGAAATCCCTCTCCAAGAGGGGCGACCCTGCATGCAGAATATCCCAAATTCCGGGGATTTCCACCCAAATGGAGCTCCCTGGGTGGGCACACGTTGGGGACAAGGAGTGACCCGAGCATTCCGGGACCAAACTCGTTAATTAAGACACCAAACTCGTTAATTAAGACACCAAACTCATTAATTAAACGCCCCCACAGCCCTGTGAAAAGCCAGGGTGGAAAACAAGAGCCGTGGGAAGGTCAGGACATGGCAGGGGAAGCTCTGAGGGATCCAATTAGCTGGAGCAGGCATCATTTATCAACATTTCTAATTAAACACCCATTTTTTATCCACATTTCCAGTTTAACAACCATTTTTTATCCACATTTCCAATTTAACAACCATTATTTATCCACATTTCCAGTTTAACAGATGGCACCAAGCCCCTGATTTACAGGACGGGGGGGACACCACGGATTTAGGATGAGAGAATTCATTCTGCATTCCCAGAAAAGTGGATTTGGCCAAAGAATATTCCTTGGATTTCTGCTTTCCTGAGACCCAAAGAATTTTCCTTGGAGCCAAACTCAGGGCACACAAATCTCTGCACACAGGAGGGGCTGCTGGGCATGGAATCACATCCCAAAATTCTGCTCCTGGAATGTGGTGCTGATTCCAGGGAAACTCCTGCTCCTTTCCCATCCCACTCCTGTGTTTAGGATCAGTTCCAGAGTTTAGGATCAGCTCCTGGTGTTTAGGATCAGTTCCAGAGTTTAGGATCAGTTCCAGAGTTTAGGATCAGTTCCTGTGTTTAGGATCAGCTCCTGAGTTTGGGATCAGATCCTGTGTTTAGGATCAGCTCCTGAGTTTAGGATCAGTTCCAGAGTTTATGATCAGTTCCAGAGTTTAGGATCAGCTCCTGAGTTTAGGATCAGATCCTGTGTTTAGGATCAGTTCCAGAGTTTAGGATCAGCTCCTGAGTTTGGGATCTGCTCCCTGTCCTTCCCCAGCTCCCCTGCAGCCACTGGGATTTTGCTGAGGCAAAAATCTTGGAATGAGGAGCCAGGAATAAAATTCCAAGGGACACACAGGATCTGCTCTCCTGGGATAACACAGGATCCACAAATCGGGACAAGCACTTTGCCCTCCAAAGCAAGGAATTATTTAAGGACAAACACACCACGAGAATTTTTCCTTCAACCCCAAATTTTGGTGCGTTCAGCCAGTTCTTTCTGTCTAAAAATATCTTTTTTTTTTTTTCCCCTCTGCAATAAACCATCAATATGTATCCTAGAAAAGCCCAGCTCACGATTTAAAATGAAATTATGAGCCGAAAATATTTGAGGAGCCCTGAAATTTTCTGCTGGGACTTTCAACAACACTGGACACCAAAGCCACCACTATTATTCTGCAGCCCGTGCACTGCTGTATTTTTATTTTCACAGCACGCCAAATATTCGCTGAAAAACATCTTTACTTCATCAGACTAATAACGAGCAAATTAACCTGATTCCAAGGAGATGGCTAAAATTCAAATTAATATTCACCCCGGCTTGTCAGAGATGGATGAAATCCATAATTACAGTAACCCCCAGCTGGAGGAATGAATGGATTGCCCAGCGAGAACTGGGAGAGTGAAAAGGGGAAGGAAAAGTCACCTGGAATTTGGGAATTTGGGCTTCGATCGGAGAACACAGAGCTGGATCTCCTCTGGCACAGCCTGGGTTTGGATTTTGGGGGTAAAAATTAAAAATAGGAGGATTTATGGCTCCAAATGACACATTTGAGGTCAGGCCTGAAAACAGCTCCTGTCACTCGGTGCTGCAGGGGAATTATTGAAGTGTCCTGGGATGAGATGTGGGATGGAAAAAATGATAAATTCTGTTGAAATTCTGTTCCCCCCGTCCCCAGGGAGCTGCACTGGGCATGGTGACAGCACAGGTGACAATCTATTGCTTTATTTTTTATTATTTCTAAATTTTTTTAGGGTTTTTTGGGGGTTTTTTTTTGTTTTTTTTTTTTTCTTCTTGCTAGGGTTGGGATGAAAGGCACGAGAGATGGAATTTTTAGTTTGGATTTAGATGCTGATGAATTTTTATTGATGTTACAGTGAGTGCTCCAGCACTTGTAGCTAACAAACTGAAAATGGTGAAATTCAAATGCACTTCACTCGTTCCAAGGTTTTTTTTTAAGGCTTAACTGTTCAATTAAAAGCTAACACTGAAATTATTTTTACTTTTGACCCAACGACCAAACACTT